ACAACGCCATTCTTCGAGAATGTCGCGATATTTGGAAAGACTGGCTGGATCTGGATCTCGAAGTGAACAGCGTTAAAGAGGACAGAAACAGATTCCTCGAGGAAAAAAGACGAGAATATAACTTCAATCTCGATAAGCAGTGCTTTTTGGTGCTAACGCAAATGATGATGGCCTTTACCGATCTCAAAGCAGTAGACCTGTTGTTGCCGACCGCAGGGAATCCATTTTATACGGAAATAAAGCACTGGTTCTGTGAAGGCTCCACGAGTGATGAGACAGAAAAGACAAATCCAACCTTAATTCGACCATTTATTCACAAGTGGAAGCTGCACTATAGTTCTTGTCCGTTTGAAAGTTATCTGCCATTTGAAAGGTAAGGACCTAGAAGGTTGCTTTGTTTCAGTCGGGAACATGACATGGCTTGTCAGCTGCTTTTCAACAGAACTTTTACAGTTTTCAGTGGTATTCTAATACCCCGTTCACACCAACATGTTTAACATGTTTACACGTGGTTTAACTAAGCAAAGTTAAAAAATAGTTGATCATACCCTTCACGCAACTTAACGACGTAAAACCCTGTTTGATTAAAATATGCTAGCGAGGTGATTTGAAATTTGTCTCAATTCTCAAAATGACTGCAAAGCGTAATCGACAAATTGGAAAACCCTGAACCTCACGTGATATTTAGTTTAACTAGTTTAGTTGGTGTGAGGAGGGCATAAGGCTTTATTTAGCCTATAATTCTTTAGATAGTCGGTACAGAGTTAGTTCATTGTCTTTATTGATACGTAAATCAATATTTACAATGTTGTCTGTGTCGCTAATATTTTCTTAAATAACCCGAGTTAAACTGACCATGGATGGGTAAAGATACCAAGCTGGGTGTGGGGGTGGGGGTTGAGGTTAGTTTTGAACCCAATTTTGAAGAGCTATGTCATTTAAATACCTTCTGGAAACCGCAATACAACACTGAACAACAATTGCGGGAAAAATTCGAAGTCCCGGCTGGATTAGCTACAGACTTGCTACATAGGCAGCCACTGGAACGGACATTAGAGAGTTTAAGCATGACGTTCACGGCAGACGGCAAACGGCAAAAATAACTTCTGATTTTTTGTTCTTTTCTTCTGATCCTTAAATAAATCACACAAAAATAGAAAAATGTCTCCTACTATTCACCGCGAATATAAATATTTTCACTCTACTGTACAGACAGCTGAAGACAGACGGCAAAAGTTTCATTTTTGCCGTTTGCCGTTTGCCGTAAACGTCATGCTTAACGTCTCTAATAAATTTATCATTTACAGTTTGTTCCAAACATTTGGAAAAATCAGATTAACTTTCGGAATGAATGGAGATAACCATTTTGGAATGTCAACCGTTCTTTAGGCAAGACCTCCAGCGATGTAAAACATTGACTGCCGCTTGCAAGGAAAACTTATCATTGATGGTGAAACGTTTCCAACAGCAGAAGAACGAGTATTTAGAAGATCTGAAGGTTAGTTAACATTTTTACAGTGAAGTTAATGACTTATCTGAAGTGAGGTAAGCTGAACTGAACTGAACAATTCATGAAATAATATGACTATCGGGAGGTTTATTTGGTGCTGATTTTGGTCTCTTTTGGAGATGAACTAACCTGTTACGGGCGTGTTTAAAACATTAAATTGACGAAATGGTACTAAACAATGTGGGACACTGTTAACCCATACAGTTATTGAGAGCTAACCGCCTTCAATTCAGTGCTATTTAGGCTACCCAGTGTGATATTTAGGCTAACTGGAATGATATTTAGGCTAACCGGAGAGATGTTTAGGCTAACTGGAGCGCTATTTAGGCTAACAGCAGTGCTATTTAGGCTAACAACAGTGCTATTTAGGCTAACAACAGTGCTATTTAGGTTAAACAGAACGCTATTTAGGCTAACCTGAGCGCCATTTAGGCTAGCCTGAGCGCCATTTAGGCCAACTGGAGCGCTAGTTTGGCTAACCTGAGCACCATTTAGGCATACCGGAGTGCTATTCAGGCTAACCGGCGCGGAGCGCTAGTTGCCTAACCGGAACGCAATTTAGAATAACTTGAGCCCTATTTAGGCCAACCGGAGCGCTAGTTTGGCTAACTGGAGCGCTATTTAGGTCTATTTAGGTTAACCGTAGTGCCATTTCGTCATTTCGCCATTTCGTGTTTTAAACAAGCCCGCCTCCTACTGCTAGACAATCTTTTGCTTGTCACGCAATCTTTCCTCGACTATGAGGAGGAAAGCTTTCGTGACAAAGCCATAAGGGCATCAGCGTAGGAGACCTAGAGATGAACTGAAAAGAAGTCCTTCAACTTTAACAAATTTGCAATTTTGCGTGTACTGATTTCCACAGGAAATAGCCACTCCAAATCGTACTTACGAAGCGTAGGCGCAGGGTTTGGATGCTAAGCCTTTCTTAGACTACCTTCGGCCAGACGACCACGTGCAATAGACTGCGAGTAGTCTCTCTTTTGCTTGAAAACCCGTGAAGAAGAACACAAAACTAGAGAGCATGCGAGCGTGATTGTGAGCGTGATATGCGAGTGGCGAGGCCACGAGCTGCTCATGCGATCACTCGTGTTGTGTTCTTTGTATCCTTCTACACGGAATTTCGAGCAAAAGAGAGTCGACTGCTGGCATTATAGACGACCACACTCATCGTATTATAGATACTCCAGGAAAACATTTTATTCATAATTGTATCTCTTTTACTAGGTTACCCTGTGGACTGGCGATGGCCTGAGCCTGTGCACGAGTGGCTTCCCTCCAGACCTGTTATTTGACGTCATCGACACTAGCAATGTCAGTGATCATATTGGTTTGCTGAACGTTCTCGTTTGCTCTTCACCAAGGCTTAAAGTGTACGTTTAATGATTCCCGTGTTTCTGTTTTGCGGAAAAAATGCCGTTTTTTGGCAGATATTTAGAAGACTATACTACGCGGAGATGCGTTTACTTATAAGCCTGCTCTTACTTGATGTAGAAGACACAGTTGACTTAAAACAATAGAGAAGAAAAGGACGAAAAAAGAAACGAAGAAAACAATGAAAACGATAGGTTTGTGACTGAAGCGGTGTTCTGTTGTGACGTTTCCTTTGTCTTGTACGCCAGGAAGGAGCCCATCAGCCCCTCTCCTTAATTATACACGGGCACATCTATCTGCTGTCGATAACGATGTTCTGGTTACAAGCCCCGCAGCCCCCTGGGGTCACGTCTTCCTTCCTTCCTTTCTTCCTCCCTCTCTCTGTCCCTCCCTCCCCCCCTCCCTCCCTCCCTCTAGTCCCATCATTCCTCCTTTCCTTCTTTTTTTTCCTTCCTTCCGTCCCTCAGTCTCTCCATCCCTCTCTCCAACGCTCCTTACAGATACACTTACACTGTAATGAATGGGAATAGCTATGACTATTTTTGCAAGTCCTTGCATCGAGATTCCTATGAGGTGATAGTTGATGAAGCCGACGGCCGAATCAACTATCGCCTCATAAAGATCTAGAACTTTTACAAAGCTGGCTTCCTTTCAATATCGAGTCTTAGGGTCGTTTCTGGTCGTTTCTCGTGAGTATCGTTTTTGCGTTTTCCACGTTGTCATCCCTTTCATTACTGCATCAACTGCTAATCGCCCGCGCGGAGGGGAAATCCCAAATGAAAGTAATCAGACGTCATTTGGTACTGCGTATAGCATAAACGTGTCAGAAGGATGTAACACATCTATGAGGTGAAAATAAAGGCAACCATGCCATGAAATCTTTCCGCGCTCGTTTCTTCGAAATCTCCGCCGACCGCCTTCGTGAATGCCACATCAAAATCCCCAAGTTGTTATACCATTATAGATGGATTTTCTGTGATAGATAGATAGATAGATAGATAGATAGATAGATAGATAGATAGATAGATAGATAGATAGATAGATAGATAGATAGATAGATAGATAGACATCTAAAGGTAAAATTTTCAGAGTAGTCCCTTCAGGGAGCCTACAAAGCATCTCTGCTATCAATAGGAGCCCTGAAACTATTACCTAACATAGATTACACAATAATAGGGTATATACTAGACTATGAACTAAGCTTTTCTTAATCATGCCCTTTTGTTTACTAAGGCCCAACAGTTCTCTCCTGCTTACATCAAGCATTTTATGGTGTAATGGCTGTGAAAGTATAGAGAAGTACTACTATAAAAGCGTTGGTGTTCCTGTGCAACTACTCCCAACAGTTCTTGGCTTGAAACTGGCTGTTGATCTCGATCTAGGAAGCAGGTACGTATATTTGAAACTAGATAATTTTCCAACGTTTTGCTTGCCGCGCCTACCAAGGGCTACTTGAAACAAACATTTAAAGACGTTCGCGCTTATTGCTTGTACGTGTTCTTACTGCGGATGCAATTGCGCACGTACCATTATGCATTGAGCGTGCGTGCGTGCGTTAAGAGACAAAATGAATAATAATAGTGCTAGTGGCCACTGCTGCTATAACTTTGCATGTATCAAGCGATCTTGGACGTTCGTTTTTATTTTGTTAAATCACTTCCTCTACCGTTTTCCGACGTTTTGCGAAAAAAACGTCAGTTAGCAGTTTATTTCTTTTTTCCCAGCACACCATCGAATTTTGACAACACTTGCAGTTATTCACGCAGCAGACCTAGTAATATAGCCATGACAAAAGAGTTAGCTCCCTTGACCCATCTTCAATATTTTAAACTAAAAATCCTTGAAAGCATGCTGCATTTATTGCACCAGTTGATTTTTTAAAATCAAGGCAGTTTTCCAGGCGCTCTATCTCTGAAACGAAGTCGGTGGAACTAAAATTAACTTCTTAGGAGACAATGGGATTACTAGAAAATAGGTTATTAATTCACAGAAATCATTGTGATGTGTTAAATTTCCTCCACAATATTAGCTGTTTACATCTGGAATTTTCGTTTGTCTTGATACAGTAAACTGCCAGACAGGGTGGAATTTACAGAAGAGATTCTTTGCTGGGTCAAAGCAGACAATACGCGGACTATGCTGACAATAGGTTGGATAATATAAAACAAAAATAGCCAAATTATTTTCCAACCAAAAAAGGTCGTTCTTACTAAACTACTACGTTTGCACTTAAACACAATGTGTGTCGTTTGCCACTTCTTTCTTTTTTGTACGAAGGTAAATCTCATTTTAGCTCCCTCTAGGTTAATTCTGTGAGGTAAGATATCAAACACGAAAGACCGTGTTTGACCACATTTCGAAACACCGAGAGGAGAGTTGTAAATACGACGCGCAGCGGAGTATTTTTGACGAACTTCGAAATGTTTAGAAACGTTGTCAAACACTGTCTTTGGTGTTCGATATTTCTTCTCAATCGAAACTAAAACTACGGAGACAACGAGGAAATAAAATCTAAAAATCTATGCTAATTAAGATCAGATATCCAAACACTGTCACGGTCAAGATTTCTTTGCACTATAAAAATTCTTTTTAAAATTGCGTATGTAACCCCAAGTATGTGGCATCCTTCCTCTGTTGTGTACATCGAGGGTTAAACGGTATTTCCGTTCTTAACTAGCAGTGAGTAATAAACCAACATCTATATAAGATTCCTCTTTGGCAATTTGATATGTTTCCGGTAACACAAAATAATATTGATCATGTTAGTTTGCTTTGCTTTGGAGATGTTCCCCAACAGACCACTTCTGTACAGTTCTTTGAAATGTAACCTAGCCTCTGCATAGAAACGACGTTTGGGTTGACCTTGTGATGGTAGAGACTGGAAACTAGGTAGCATGATAACAAGATAATCTACATTTGAAAAGTCAACAAAATCAACTCAAGCCTCGCTTCTGTTCAAAAGCCTGATCACTCAGCACTGCACTGTATAATGAGCTATTTACACATCTCCTATTACAGATAGAACCAGTGATGTTTTACAAGCCTTGCATCGGCTTGTCGAGCGGTGCTTCAATCTACTCAACTATCACACAGATCAAGTGTCAGGCGTCACTCTATCCTCGCCAATTACCTTTCTTCGAATCATTCATCAGATTCAACCACTTTTCAAAGGAGGAGGTTATGTTGAAATTTTTAATGGTTAAAATTGGTAACGTAGGTAATAATATTATATATAAACTTTTTGGTGGCAAGGGAAGACCAGTTGACCAGTTGGCTAGGACGTGACAACAAATGCCAGAAATTTGCCAAGGATAAAAGTGTTAAAAAGTTGCAACCAGCAGCCCGATACTGAAGCGCAAACTTCACACAGTGCGGCGCCCTGAATGGAAACCCTTTTCCACCATGGAAACTTTAGTGGTATATCTATTCGTATAATAACCATGCATCGATCAAATGTTAAAACATAAACATTTATCATATGGCTGTGTCTCACAAGGACTGGGAACTACCGAATTCACGAATTTGATTGGCTGAAATCGATATTGACCGCAGTCTAGATTTTCCCATCT